AGGCAAATACTATGACACTTCAAAAAACACAGCCATTTAGTTTTTAATTGTTTTTAAGACAAAAACTATATATAAACGACACGGTAACAATCATCACAACAATTTTATTGATAACTTCAGTTACATTCCACAGTTGTACAATAACAAAGACCTATCCAAGACTACTGGGTGTACAATAACAAAGACCTGTCAAGTACAGGTACATCCTATAGTCGAGTCTGGAGACAGGCAGTGCAAGCTAAGGACGAGGCAACACCTCGCAAAACTTCCAGCAACATCTCAATGAAGGAAACCATTTTTTATCCACCTTTCTTGTGTAGTAACTTCCTTGTTGATTATGATATGGTGGTGCTCATGTTTCGATTCCTCAGACTGAACAGCAGGCTTGGAAATGGGAACACAGAGCTATTCAAGAAAGTGAAAGAAAAGGTGAGGTCAAACTTCCACTAGCATCTGCACCTCTCACGATCGAGAGAGGGAGAGAGCAAGAAGAAACTTGCGAGAGGGATAATATATGGGTGGGTTGAGAGAAGGACGCAAAGATCCTTACAGTTGGTCTCTAAGAGAACCCCCTTAATCGCAAAACTTCCACTAGCACATAGATCGAGGAGCCCTCGCTGCGCTAGATGCCGGTAGTACCCAATCTTGAAGGCCTTCTCCCAACGCAACTGCTGCCACTGGAAGAGTTGGAGAAGGAGCACCATGGCGATGAGGAAAATAAAGATGGTTGGCTCAATAGCTTTTTCTGTATCTAAGGAGGAAGGAGTGTGTGGATTGCCAAGAAGCGCATCCAGCCCTAGCTTAAAATAGGCCAACCTTGAAGAAGAAGCGGAGAGGAGCAGTTAATGGTGATGCAACTGTGTTGTGGGTAGTTGGAAAATGGGAAAATTACTCACGCTGAATTTACTACCGCCAGTGCACCAAATGGTCGTGTAGGGCCGGCGGCCATAACGCCTATCCCAGTTGGCTCGGCTTTTCATGCGACGGAGAAAATACCACTGTCGCATCTATTGTTAACCCATCGGTGGTAGAAGTTTGAACTATCGGTTTCCTTCGTAGGAGGCCTAGCTATCGGTCCAACCGGCGGTGGAAGTATAACACCATCGCTTCTATCGCTATGTCAGTAAAAGTGGCGATAGTGATAAATCAATCTGTAGTAGTGAGTGCCCTAATTGATAATGAAACCTGTGGCGCGTCACACAACTTGCATCACAGCCAGGACCATCGATCTGCACAATGTTTTAGGTTTATTAAGTTTTCCTTAATTGTATCTCGCAATGAGATAAGACCGATGCACTCAAGTGACTGGGTGTCATCACTATGTAATTAAGCAATGGGTGCCATCACGATGTAATTAACCAACTGACAAGGAATTTATTATGTTTCGTTACATTGGTTTTGTTACATTAGCTATGGCTGTGCAAGCATTTTCTTCACAATATTATCAGACGGCTATCAGAGACAATCTCGGCCTGACCTATCCAACTACTGTGAGTCGACGCTTAGGGTATCCCCAATGGTTCCCAGATAGCTAGTCTAAGAAGAATTATATTAGTTATTAAGGAGAGAGGCGAAATAGCTAGCGACTATCAAATAGCTAATATAGCACGATCTCCTAGAAACCCTCCACTAACAATGTTCATTTTTTATTATTTTCAAGCCTCATCTATCTAGGTGTTTGCAAATTGCCATTAAGGATGTCCAAGTTCAAGCCTTCAAGGATTGTTTTGCAACTAATACGGCTTGCATTGTACTAATTAATTAACCTTGGGAGTCGTCTTTCTTATCGAGATTGCCAGGCACACATTTATAGGAGTAGTTCTTAAGCGCCCATGCCTGAATTTGTCAAAGTCGTTGCGAAAACCTCGAGGTCACCTCTGCGATGTCAACCACACACTGCGAGAACAGAATCGTTTGGGTGATCAGGGAATGACTGTGTTGATCTTCAAACATGCATGCGTGCAGTCCGTTAAGACTTCATGCATGTAAGTCATCGTTTACTAATATTGTTACTAGAGCCTGATACAAAAGATATATAAACCCTGGGTTACATTACTATGGGTGATCTCGTTATCTTTCGGCTGTCGTGTCACCAGCTGTGCATGTTTCACAGTGCTGGAGAGAATGGTCAAATGCATAGTCATGAGCATCATGCATATTTGAGTTTATTGTAGTATGAATTTTTTTTGCAGGTTTTTTTTTGGACCGTAACGATTCATCCCAAGCAAAAGCCAAGAAAAAGCAAAAAAAAAACCTTGTGAAAGTAAAAAAAAAAATCACTCGATCTTTTGTTTGTTCTCAGGTAGGGTGAAATGGAGTGTACTCCCTCTGTCCCATTTTAACTGTCATTGTCGCTTTCCGAGAAATCACATATACTCAACCTTAACCAAATATATATGAGAAAAGAGCTTTGCTATGGTACACCCATTACATTATAAGAGATAAGATCTTGAATGAATCTGAGCCCTTGATTTTGAAAATGCATACAACATTTAAATAAATAATAATTAACTAAAATATTTAGAAAAAAGAAAAAGAAAAGGCAGGAAATCTCAGCCCGTCCTTCAGCATTATTGGCCTCCTTCCTTATCCCTGTGTTGACTAGTGAGGAAACAAGAAAATCTATATACATGCTGCTAGTAGTCGATATCACATACGACGCAACTAGCGCCCGAATGTCCGGCGCAAACACGCGTCCGGACGCCCCTCAGGACCATCCGATTGAGATAATAGGAGTCGCCCAAATCTCATCGAATAAAACAACGACGGAAATAAAACGGACATATCCGATGCAATAGAATGGGCACGCCCCTGCGTGCGGCGTGTCCCCCGCTGCGCCGCCGTGCCTCGTCGCATCGCCATCCCCTACCGTGCCACCATCCCCTGCGCGCCCGTTGCCCTCCACGCCCCATCCCCACCATGCTCCATCACCCGAATGTCTAATGAGAAATTTTCCATCGGAAGATTTGTTGCAACACGGAGCAATGCGAGATGCAACATCAGAAGTATTACTTGTTTGCAACATCAGAAAAAGTCACTTGCAACATCAGAACAAGGCTACTGCAACAACAGAACAAAGCTACGGCAATGCAAGATGCAAGATCAGAAAAAAGACTAATGCAACAAAGAAATATTACTTATTGCAACATCACAACAAGGCTACTGCAATAACAGAACAAAGCTACTACAATGCGAGATGCAAGATCAGAAAAAAAGACTAATGCAATAAAGAAATATTACTTGTTGCAACATTACAATAAGGCTACTACAACAACAGAACAAAGCTCAATGCGAGAAGCAACATCAGAAAAAAACAGATGCAACAAAGAAATATTACTTGTTGCAACATCAGAACAAGGCTACTACAACAACAGAACAAAGCACAATGCGAGAAGCAACATCAGAAAAAAGAGACTAATGCAACAAAATAAAATTACTTGGTGCAACATCAGAAGAAGGCTATGTGAGATGCAACATCAGAAACAAAAAAAAGAGACTAATGCAATAAAGAAATATTACTTGTTGCAACAGCAAAACAAAGCTAGTGCAACAAATCTCGCCGGAACCCTAGCCATCGCCGCGCCCCTCAGATCCAGAGCAAGAGGAGGAGGAGAAGGAGGAGGAGGGCTCAGATCCAGAGAAGGAGGAGGGGGAGTGCTTAGATCCAAGGGAGGAGGTGGAGGGGGCTCAGATCCAGAGATGGACCGACCTACCTCGTTAGAGCCGCCGCTGTCGTCCTCGTCTCCGGTTACGGGAGGGAGGGAGGGAGCGAGGAAGAGAGGGAGGGAGCGCGGGCGGCGGGATGGCATCGAGCTGTGGGGCACGGCATCTGTCCCGAGGGCGCAAGCTGGCCCGGAGAGCGGCGGAGCGGCAATGAGTGGCGCGTGGGGGAGCGGACTGGGTCATAGGATGCCGAAGAAGCAACAAGTGGGGGGGGGGGGTTCACGGGATGGGATAACGATGCCGATGGGATAAGGAGTGGGGGTCATGGGGCCACGTCCGGACGGAAGTTGGGGGCGGATGCCCGGTTCGTATCACTTTCTTATCACATATATTGCATTCTACCAACGAATTAGAATCTTCAAGCATACTCTTTAAGAGTTTAAGTACAAAGTACTAATAATGAGATACTATAATGTGATACTCTTTAAGAGTTTAAGTACAAAGTACTGTTAGTCCCAAAAGATATGTAAACCCTGGGTTACATTACTATGGGTGATCTCGGTATCTTTTGATTGTCGTGTCACCAGCTGTGCATGCATCACAGCGCTGGAGAGAATGGTCAAATACATAGTCATGAGGTTCATGCATATTTGAGTTTACTGTAGTACGCATGTTTTTTGCAAGTTTTTGGACCGTAACTATTCATCCCAAGCAAAAGCCAAGAAAAGGTAAAATAAATCCTTGCGAAAGTAAAAAAAAAAAATCACTCTTCCTTTTGTTCTCAGGCAGGGTCAAATGGAGTGTACTCCCTCCGCCCCTTTTTTAACTGTTGTCTCGCTTCCTTATATAAAACACAATTAGTAATAAAACTACTAATGTGTGAAAGGTTTTAGTGCCTGGACAGCTTTGTCTCGTATATATATAGCTGAAAGCTATGTTTAGTACCAGTGCAAGTCCGAAAATCGGCAAAGAGCTAGTTTAGTTTCAATGAGCCTTCCAAACACCGATGATGAATGCTAAAACTTAATTTGCGCCATCCACAATCTATGGATGGAGATGAGACGTAGCTGGTCTGCCTGGTCATCTAAAGAGAGCGTAACAAGTACTACTTTGCAACTTGCATATACTTAATGTTCAAGTCAAGGAGCTCCATTAATTCCAGTGGATTTTAAAAGCTTCCACTTGGTCTCCTATTGAAACACTACTACCATTAACGTGTGCAAGCTATGAAAGTAAAGAACCACTGCGTGGTCTCCAGCACGTACTATATATAAATATCCATGCAGCATTCACTGGGAACTCGTCTCAACTCAAACACTCTATAGTGGTGGCTCACAATGGCAGGCACAAAGCTAATATCACTAGGGCTCATTGTCCTCATGAGCATGGGATTAGCCAATGCTGTAAGGGTGGCTAGATACTCTAGTGCTGATGGGACCGGCACAGGAGGGGGAGAGGGCGGCGGATATGTGAATGGCGGGGGATCAGGGTCTGGGTCCGGCACCGGATAGGGTGATAGTGGCCCTTATGGTGCCCATGCAAGTGCTGGAGGGGGTGGTGTAGGTGGTGGAACTAGCCAAGACGGTGGGTCCGGATATGGCTCAGGGTCAGGGTCAGGGTCAGGGTCAGGATCTAGTACAGATAGTCAAGGAGTGTATTCTGAATTTGGTCCTTATGGAGGAGAATCTTCTTCTAATGCTGGTGGTGCCGGTGGTGGTGGGGGTGGAGGACAAGCTGGAGGTGCTTGGAATTCCAATGCTCAAGGATCCGGTAGCGGCACCGGTTCTGGCTCTAGTTATGCTAACAGGTATTGGGATGGTTCAAGTGATGCGGGTGCAAGTGCTAACGGCGATGGAGATGGCACAGGAAATAGTGAAAATAGTGGTGGTGGCGGTGGTTCTGGTGCCGGAACTGGATATGGCAATGCCTACCCATAAATTCCATATAAGCCAATCTAAAGTTGGAGCCCATCGTCGTCCTTCCTTGTTTGAAGTCGTAGAGTTATTTATTTTCTTTGTCCCTTTGTTACACTTTTGTTAGTATTAAATTAATAAAGGGTCCAACTGTTCTAGCAACAGTAGCAGTCTTGTAATGTCCTTATATGAAGATGTTGTAACCATGTCTGTTTGTGAAAGGAAAAATTAACTTGTCCATTGGATCTGGCCACTATATCTAAAAAAAAATCTTACGTTCTCTTTGGAGTGATTAAGTTGAGACGCCCACACCGTGCATGTTCACATGGTTATCAAAATAGAATATACCGATGAACTTCCTAGAGTAATTTATATCACTTACGACGATAACTCCATCTGGGTCAATCCAGCCTAGAACATAATTAGCAAGAACTGCTGCCACAAGCCCATTTATGTCAGTGATAACTTTTTTTTAAAAAAAAGTGATCCTGTGCATAGGGCTTCACAATTTTATCCTCTGTCCTGCAACAGAACTTCTACAGCTGTACTTAATCAAACTGTCTTAAGTTTGCGAAAGGGTTGTAGCCTAGTGGTTATAAAATTAAAGCCTCAGTAGCACCACAGATCCTGAGTTCCACTCTCTGTGGGAGCGAATATTTCATGATTTAGCGGCGTTGTGCTTTCAGTGGTAGGCGACGTTCCCACTGGACAGCGAGGCACATGTGGTGACTTTGTCAATCTCGAGGATTTGCCAGCCCAATCTTCGAAGATACTCATAAGCATAGGGTTTGCATGTATGCGTTCATAGGGGTGAGTGTGTGCATTGTGAGTTTTTGAGTTGTACTGCGTAATCGGAAAAAAACTTTCTTATGTTTGACTAACTTTATATATAAAAAGAATAATATCATCTCTATGATACCAAACAAGGATATTATGAAAATATATTTCATGTTACGTATTTATAGTAATAATACTAATTTCTGTTACACATATTAGTGCTCTTTTGAATACATACTATCAATTTCAAAATAGTTTTACTTAGAACAATACTAGAAATTGATTTCTTTTAGAATAGAAATAGTACGCAACATATTCCACTACAGTTAGCTTCTTCCTCTTGTCGAATGTTATGCACTACTCCGATACGCCCTCCCTCCCTAGTGACTAGCCGCCCCCTGTCCAGTTGCATCCATGTCCAATAGCTCACTTGCCTACCACTCTCCTACCACTCCACCCTCCATGTAAAATCCATAACACGGCAAAGCCAGCCTTAAATATCATATCGGTCAACTAAACTATATTGTACATTGAACCTTGAATCAAATAGTAATTTAAAAATTAAGATTTTCTGAATTTTGTAGGAGTCGACGGACCCCAACAAAATTGACGAACCACATGCTAATATAAATACCCTAAGTATATATTACGTAGCAGGCTTTATGTTAATTAAGCATCTGTGTAGCCAAAAAGGCTCCAACAACGTAGCCTAGTATGGTGGTCAATGTTTTCTGCATTCGTTCATCGTGCTTCTTGGCTCTCGCAAATGGCTAATCAAGGAGATGGATACTTGATGTCCAGTTCTAATCAATTATTCGTCTTCCATCAGTGATCGGTCCATATCATCGTACTTTTTAAACAATACATTATAGTTCGCATTACTACTATTGGTTTATTCATGCATAATTTAGATCTCATTTAGAGTATTGCTCGAGACCTCTATATTCATCAGGACCCATAGCAGATTTCGATCGGGGAGGGCAACGGAGTGGACGAGGTGGCTCAATTGCGCCCCATGTGTGGCTGCTCACTGGCTCGACATTCTTGTCCCTCGATTGCATGCCTTGTAGGAGGATCACAGAGAAGGGAGTGAAAGAGGCCATATCTGATATCTTTAGGTCATTGTACTCATCTTGTTATTCACAAATGGATCATGGATGGATGTACTGTTTGGAGCCCATGTCTGCTTGATTCGTAGAAGGCACCGAATCTTTTGGTGGCCACCAAGGCGTGCAACACAAATAATGTATGGAATGATGGATACATATACTGCACATGTGTGTCGGTTGCAAAAGTCAGAAGTAATTTCAAAACATGGAGCCAATCTGTTGTCATCTACTGCTTAAGGGGTTCATGGAAACTATTGTTTGGAATAAGCATGGAGAAGATGGTGACAACTTACTTCAAGAAGCCTCTCTCGGGTGTTGGTTTGAGCCAGCAGTGATGCTAAGTTTCTGGATTCTAGGCTTAAACACAACTGGCAGTGATTGTGCATTCTGGTGTAGTGAGACAATGGTTGATATACAATATTGCCCTTAGAACAAATATGGTTGTTGCATGCATCACCCTTAGATGATGGCTTATTTTGAGATTACATGGTACAATGTTGACTCTCACAACGCACGCAAACTCACCCCTATGAACTCATGAATCCAAACTATTGGGGCTATGATACCCGTGTATCTCAAGACACCGATTAGTTAGCCACTCGGACGGCCCACGGTATGCCAGCTACTATAAGCCCAAACGATCGAAGCCCAGCTAAGCTACGCGGACTTGGGCCAAACACAAGGGCAAGGGTAGGACACGACCTCTTCCCTCCGCCTTCACTGCGCGCCGCGCAACTCCTCATGACCTTTCCCCCGTCCCGACCTCTGGGAGGGGCAGGGAGAGATCGAGCCCCGCCAAGCGTACCTGCTCTGACAAGAGCACGCTCGCCACACCGACCCCGCAAGGAACGAGGGGACAACAGTCCCCTCAGCCCTGTCAGACGCCATCCCTGCAGCACGCAGCATAGACAAGACAACACCGCCGAGTGATGATGGCTAGTACGGCTGCCCACCGTCCAAATACGGCCTGACAAGACAGATGTACGACCCCACCCACTATGGGACGGGGGCCACATTGGCGGCCTTGACTTTTGAGGCCAACTAAGCCAACGAGGGCCATGACCCTAGAGCACGGGATTGTGGCCTCCGGCATAATGAGCAACAAGACAATCAACGGCCTGGAAGCGGCCACCAACTCCTGTACGATGCCTCCGGGAGATCAGGAGGTGATGACGAAGGCCACGACAAAACCATGTCGCGCAGGACGGCTAGTGAAACACCACCATGCCCACAATGCCACCATGACCGACACTATAGCACCACGCCACACCATGCCGCGACGTGGGCACATGACCACGATGACAGCCACGCCCGGACATGCACCACAAGACGACATTACTTGCAAGCTAAGTTAGCTAGGTTCCCTCCCTTAGGCTCACAACTCCTCGGTCGGGACAACCTCCTTCTTTGTATGTGACCTGGCCCCGGACTCTATATAAGGGCAGCCAGTGCACCCTTCCTATCATCTTTGCACTCTCGAGGCTTTCATTCGAGCAGTCCATCTCCATGCTCTAGCACTCCTACCTCTTCCACCATTCTTGCACCCCCCATTGTAAGAACTTCAGAGCATTCAAGCGAGGAACACGCACTCGATCACCTCTGAGACAGGACGTAGGGCTCTGGCCTAAACCAGTATAACTCCTCGTGTCTTTTGGATGCTACCATTGTCTTCCTAGAGCAGTGCGACATTCATATAAATTCACTAGTCGGTTTACAAAACACCGACTGTTGGCGTGCTAGGTAGGGGATAGTCGCGCACTCATTGTTGAGAAGGAAGCGATGGCTCCTCGCACCATTGATGGACTCACCTGTGGAACGGCCCATGGCGTCTGGATCTATCATGGAAATTATGAGTTCATCGGCATCGAAGTGCCAACGCCCATGTCCGTCTTCAGCCATAGTCAGGTCCTCCACCCTGGAGACCTAGACCTCGTGGCCCACGGTGGACACACTCTCAGAATGGCTCGTAGTGTCTACATCCCAGAGTTCACCTACATAGGGGGGCCAGGACCCTCTCTCATCACTCGCCATGGCCAGGTTTCCCACCCGAGAAACTAGAGGCCTATGGCTCATGGCGAGCTCACCCATGGAATGGCCCTTGGCGGCCGCATCCTTTGGGAAAACAATGAGATCGTCCACACCAATGGGCAAACACCCATCATGGGCCTCTACCCTATCTATAACCATCGTGCGACAAGTCTGGATCTTGTGGTAGAGTCATGTCCTGAGCAACGTCGCCTCTAGTGGAACATGGCTAATCAGGGCGCACACGAGCGATGAAGCCATCCGCCGCCATGCGGCATCGTCACTAATGATCAGGTGGCTATTCGGCACTAGCCTTGCAAGGCCAAGCCTAGAACTAGGGTCAAATCCCTCGTGATGGACTAACAGTCTGTCACGCCATTGCGAACTATCAGCTTTTACATGGAGGCACATGCATTCAAGGAAGCGGGCCCTCTAAGAGCATGACATGCCGCGCCAGGTGGACCGAGACATGTCACCCTCAGAACCCACTTTCAATCATGCTTGCTCCTCATTGAGAGCGGCAACCACACCTAGAAGCGAAGATGCAACGACTGCGACATCGTCGTGCCACGAGGACTCGTGCATCAGAACGCACAAGCCATCTTGGCCACAAACTTTAATGAGCCAGACAAGAAGAAGCCATCCCCAGGGGCTCACGAGCCCACCAAGGACACTGAGCCAGCAAGGATCGACCCAAGGCCGCTCGAGAGGTCGACCCACACCAGCTACGACCATTCCAAGTGATAGGAAAGCATCCTTACCAGCTTGAGGTCAAGAAACCATAAGGACTCCGCCATGAGCATGCGCTCGGGGGATCGACGCGCCCCGAGCAACGACGGCCAGATCCACGATAGCTTCCGTTACAGTGCTCAATCACGTCAACTCTATCCCTAGTATCTCTACCTAAGCACATTCTCATAAATTTGTAGGCTCGCTCATAGTTCCAAAAAAACTTAGAGCCAAGTTGTAGAGTAAACCAGAGAACATGATAACCATACAGTCAATCCTAGCGCCGTTTACCTGTCGAGTGACCTGATCCGACTCGCGACAGCGGTAGGACATGACTCACTCACGGGGGCTACACGTATGGGCATGCACTTATGAGTTTCAAAA